AATTTTAAATTTTGGCTGATAGGAAGGGCACTTATTCGAAGGGTGCGTTTTTTGGAGGGGATGCAATAATTCAAGGATTTACGGTATATTAAACCACTGCATTAGCACAACTTACTTTAATCAAATATTAATAACTAACATATTAGTGCCTTATTACGTTAGGGCTTTAGCAGACAGCAGCCCCCAACACCATCACAATAGTGCACTCTGCCAAAACGTTATCACTCACAATGTCTCAAAACAATACTATTTTACACCAAACTTTTTTCTGATTAAAATATCCCTTTGGTGAATGTTTTCCTTAAGTCTTGCTTCTGCACTCAAAATATAGCAATGTGCAGTTCCAGAAAGTATCTCGACATTGTACTTCCCCCACAGAAGGGATTGGAATTTCCTGGGGTTGGGGGTTCTGTAAGGCCAAAAGATTTAAAGAAATGTATGAAGCTTAATCGGAGTTTCCAGAGGGGTGGGGGTGGGCTCTTAGAAAAAATCCCTTCTGTGGGAGGTATGGCAATTTTCTGAAATTACACAATAATGATTAATGCATGCCACATACAGTGAGCAAATCATGGATTGTAAAAAAGATGCTTTGTATCATTAGATTTTACAGGGTTTAATAAATATTGTTATTACCTTTAGCAAAGTATTGACTTTTTGTATCAACTCCTTCCTTTCTGGATCAGCAAGTTCTCCATGACTACCCAACGTCAAGAATTGCAACTGTTCCCGCGATAATACCTCTCCCTGACGCAAAGCTTGGTTTGACTACGAGAAAATGAACAAAGAAACAATCTACTATTTTGAAATGTCTACAGTAAACATCCAATTCTCCAGGTTTCTTTCAATTTAACTTTTTAATTTTTTTTTTGTTTTCTCAAGGTTGCTATGTGTAGCAAAAGAAATTTACAATGAGTGCAGTATATTAGTGAATACAAGGTTTATTATGTATAGTCAGTCATTAACAAATAACTGAAAGGAGCTTAATTCTTAGAAAAGGAAAATAATGACATTTTAGATGTCAGTGTAATGTTGTGGTGGTTAAAAATGTAATTTGAAATTTTTGTAAACCAGTTTCAATTTTATTTTACTACATCTTGACCTCATCATCATAATGTGAAAAAACAAAAGCAAATAAAAATCACACTGGTTCATAAACTTTCAAAGCAAACAGCATTATACTGGGGAAATATAACTTGGCTGCTTGGTGAACTTCCTGTAATCACTTGACATCTTCATGTCACTGTGAAATACTTGACATACTTGAGCAAGAGAAAGCCATGTTGCTGTAGCATCCTTGAGAGCTAGGGTAACCTCTCTGTCCCGCAGATAGTCACCAATCTCATGGAAGCCACCAAGTGACACTGTCAAGTCCGCTGACGACATCAAAAACTGTGACTGGACTTGTAACAGGGAGAGGAAGCAGGAACCCAACATCTAAAGGAATGTAAATGATATTTATTATGTATAGACATAAGTGTTTCTATTGGAAAATGTTGTCAGTTTGTTATTTAAATCAGAATGATATCAATCTAGATTATATTGTTTCAGCCTACACTGTGGTAAAATTTTCTGAACCATTTTTTTTTTCACATTTTGGGGGGTTCTTAAAAAGAATAGCATGCAAACCACCCACCCCCATCAGTTCCCAACCCCACCCTACCCTGCAAGAATCCCACATCAATCTCCCTAAAACCTAACACCCCAGATCCTTTTTTAAATTTTATTTTGTACTGACCCCCAAAGAAAAATTATGACACATTGGCTTGAAAATATGAATTTTATTTTCTTGTGTTAAAAACAACATTTTACTTACTCGCTGCCCTTGTTCATCAAATATTGCTCTTACCACTCAAAATAAGATTCATATCTTCGCACTGCTGTATAATATCCTCTAAACATATTTTAGCGGTGGTACATGTACATGCACTTGCAATGCACAAGGAATTTTTCTGTAGTATCATTATTCAAAAATAGATCACATGACACTCCTGTGCTTTAAAGTTATCACAAGATAATCATTTGGATAACATTTGCTGTTACTGTGCAACCCCGCCTTACCGCCACCCTAATAATACAGCTACAGTACCTCGTTGTTACGGCCACTTTAACTTACTGTGGCCAGACCAAAAGCTCAGTCAGCCATTTTCTTATTGAAAGAACCTTTTTAATACGGCCACCCCCCTCTTTTAGCTTTATGTATGTAGCTACATGTATTGTCGGTGTTGATGTATTGGGAGTTAGGAGAATATCAATTAATTTTGAGACATGCGCTAAACATGATCCATTACATAATTGGCAGTTGGTTCAGAGGAAGGTGCCAATTCAAGTCAACTTTGCTCAGGCAATCTCAAGTTGAGACAAAAATCATAGCACACAATGTTTGTACAAAACAGACAATGACATGGTGTAAACATAACTCAGACAAAAATATAACACAACATTTGAAAAGTGGACCACAAGCAATAATTTTGTTTTTATTCTAAAACGACAGATAGAAAATTTATGCAAATATTCAATTTATTTGCCAAGTCACATGCATTATTTTTTGTTTTCGAGGAGAGTTTTAGATTTCAGTTTTGACAGAAAAATTTATTCAGCTTGCTTTATGGAATAGGACAGAATAAAGATACAAGTACATGTACATGTATCTTATAAAAATCCTACAAGAAAATGATAACGGTGGTAAAAACCTGTTAACATTTTACATGAAGAAAACATTTCTGCAGCAGCTTTTAATTAGCATGTATCTATAATTAAGTATGGACCACTGGGATTAAAAGAATTCAAATTTGCCACTAGTTTATAAAATTTTTTTGATCTGACAGACACAGCAGCTGCACTTTTCGAAATGAATGTTTCTAGTCTGCAAATCAAAACATTGAATCCAAAACCCTTTATATTTGCATCTAAAAGCACAGGATAAACCTGGCTACGATTTATGTACAAGCAAGGAAAAAGCTCCCACCATGATACAGAGAAATTATACAATAAAGAATGTCTGAAAATAAAAACTAAGTGCTTGATGTGAAAATTGTTGCCTTTTTCTTTGGTTCAAAGTATCCATCAGTGTCAACATTTTTGTATAAACAATGGTCTGCATGTGACTTATCAAGAATGAATGATTAATGTTGCATAGCAGAAATTATTTCCTTGACAGCTACGCAATATAGTTATGCTGTGCATTTTATGTGAGATCCTGTGATATCTCACTTGAAGGCAGGGCAATATTTTTGTTATACACGTATTGAACAAAGAATGTTCAAAATTATTCAATGTATTTATGTTTATTTGTGGATTTTGCTTTTTCTAAGTCTTCACAGGTTTACAAATGTGTACAATTTATACAAGAACATTTGGAGAGTGAAACGCTGAAGAGCTGATATTATGAAAAAAGCCCCCTGTCATGTCAGAACAAATATCCAAGCAGAAAGGGAGTTTATCGGGATGTTTTGACTCCGCATCTACTCAAAACGATTTACAACAAGCTGCGCGCATAAATAAGATTCTCAACATGAGAGAAATAAACTCCTTGAAGAATCAAGCTTATCGTTGGTAAAGCAGCCTGGATTAAAATTTGACAGATTAAAACGTGAAGACCATTCCTATGTGGTGTATAATCATTAATGCGTTTAAAAACGTTTTGTTACGAAAGTGTCAAGAGGCAAAAGTGGTCTTTAAAACGACAGATGCAATTTAACACCTGAGAAACTCCGATAGCCCGAAGGTCACGCCAAAAATGTGTTCAGTTTAGCAGCCGACACAACATTGCAACGAATTCCTGAGACAACTCTTGATCACCTATAAGTTCCCCTCAAAAGATATGTTCTGGTTTATTCACTGTTGAGTTACATAAGAAGTATTTGCACAAGACTCAAGCTTATTTAAGGTAAATGCGCTTCTGTAGTTATTTTGAGAGCATGACAAAATGATTTCACGCAGGCATTTGGCCTTGGCGCGTTTTACCTCGAAACAAAGCAGTTATTAAATTAATCCACTCACGAAAAGAGATGAATTGGTAAAGGTTAATCTTGTACAAAAATCGAGCAAATAAAACACAGTGTAAAGCATTTAATCTATGATGTACATATTTAAAACTTCACCTAGTTTCTTTTGATAGAAGGGAAACAGTGAAGTAAACTGTTTATCGAGAAATAACACAGTAAATACACTACACTACAAGCTGGTGGTATCGCAATTATATACACACTTCAAATGTCAAGCCGAAACAGAACGTTCTAGATCTCATATTTAAACAGAGCATACCTTGACTCGATTTTCCTCTACTTCAGAAAAGCTTCTGTACAATTTCTCTTCTTCCGTTGTCAGTTCTTCAGTCGCTGCACGGAATCTCTGTCGGGTTGTTTTGAGTCTCTTGCCATCATTGTTTACCAAGCCTTCGTCTTTCTCTAACAATTCCAGGTTTTCTTGACACGATTCGTAATTCTGCACGCTTCTCTTGTGCGCTTCAATGGCTCGCCTAAGGCCAGGCAAAGTCGCCTTGAACTCGCAAAGCGTCCCCAAAATGTGACTTGTGATATGAACACTCGACTGATGAGCAACATGGTCGATTTCTTCAACCACTTGTTTCAGCTGTTGGGAGATTTCTAGTAGCGGGGTTTCTTTTAAGACCGTTGAAAAGGATTCTGCCAGCTGGGAGCCTGCCCCACAGAAAAATTTAGTCGCATCTAAATAACCAGTTATCTGCTTATCGATCGCTCCCACATTTGATTCAAGTGTCTCGACATTCTCCAGTAGTTTCTGATGATATGTAGGGCATTTACTGGTGTCGCCTTTACTCTCCTTCCACTGATGGTAGGACAAATATCTTACGCTGTCCATATCTTACACTAAAAGCAGTGTGTGAAAGACTAAACATTGGTGAACGACGACAAAGCAAAATCGGAAACAGGCGGTGTTTCTGATCCCGACATCAGCGTTCCACTGACTCACTCACTTCCTTTCAAACATCTGACCGAATTTTCGTTTGAGCACGCGACACATCAGCGGTAGTATCAAAGGCCCCTGCGCAATTCTTTTGGGGAAAAGAAAATGGCGCCTGTCTCGGTTGTTTCTACCGAAGTGAAAGCGTGGTGTATTCAAGAACTGTTGAAAATAACAGACGCTGATGACGATGTGACGGGCTACATCTTGTCCCTGAATACCGCGAGTGAGCTAGAAACGTATCTGCGAAGTTTTCTTGACCCAAAAAATCGCGAGCATCGCCAAATTTTGGTGGAATTTTCTGATCTAGTAGCTGGCATTGAAAATTCTTCTTATGCCGATTCATATTCTCAGAAATGTTCAGGTAATTTTGGTGGTGGTTTGACGGACCCACTTATCAATTCAGGGAAAGAAACAAAGAAAAAGAACGCAAAATTTGTGCCGCTTTATAGCGCTGAGGGACAAGCACGAAGCTCCGTACGCTTGCCCGGCAGGCATCCTTGTGAATGTTTGGGCCAAAAGCACAGCTTGGTGAATAACTGCATAGAGTGTGGACGGATTGTTTGCATGCAGGAAGGCTCAGGTCCCTGCTTCTTCTGTGGAGCTTTAGTTTGTACCAAAGAGGAACAAGAAATCTTGGCGAGAAATTCCAAAAAGAGTCAAAAACTATATCAGAAGCTACTGACGCAAACCATAGAAAGTGACACAGGAGCAAAAGCAGAGACATCAACAGCAGACGAAGGTCTTCAAAAGGCTATTGCTCATAAAAACAGGCTTATAGAGTATGACAAGAGTGGTGTGCGTCGCACGAAGGTGATTGACGATGAATGCGACTACTTTGCAAGTGACACTAACAGGTGGCTGTCCAAAAAGGAAAGAGATGCTTTGAAGAAGAAAGAAGATGAGCTAAGGGAGAAACGACATGGCTCACGTAGGGAGATGAAGGTGACACTTGACTTTGCTGGCCGAAAAGTCATTGATGAGGGTGAAACGGAGGTTGATTATGGTGTTAATTCTGATGCTGCTGTCCTTGCTTCTGGTTTTTATAGTTCAGATAAAAACTCTGAACAACAAAGTGTTGCCAATCCTGATTTTCCAAATGTCACGTCATTAAAATTTGTTTCTACTTCTAAGGGAGGTAGCAAACTACAAAATGTTAAGGGTTTGGCAGAGAAACAGCAGGGAAGAGAAGTTCTACGTATCCAAGATAAAGAATTTCAGGAGATGAGTGATACTGGTGCATGTCTGAGCATGCATCAACCTTGGGCCTCACTGCTTGTGCTAGGAATCAAGAGAGTTGAAGGCCGCACATGGTACACACCCCACCGTGGACGTTTGTGGATTGCTGCAGCTGCCAAGCAGCCGACTGAGCAGGATATTGCAGCTGTCGAAGGCATGTATAGAGCTTTGTATGGAGATGGAAATGTGGCATTTCCAAAACAGTATCCTATATCATGTCTGCTGGGTTGTGTAGATCTTGCTGACTGTCTTGCCCAGGAAGATTACAAAGAAGAGTTCCCAGAAGGAGAGTCAGAATCTCCTTATGTCTTTGTTTGTGAAAATCCACAGCAGCTGGCACTGAAATTTCCAGTGAAAGGACAGCATAAAATATGGAAACTTGATCCTGCAATCCACAAGGCTGCTAAAGGAGGGCTCAGGAAAGCAGCTTAAAGAAGCATCTCTAATTAATCAATACTAACTTATTCCATGGCCATGTCATGGTCATAGTCCTGCCTTAAACTATAAGCAAGTAAAAATCTAGTTGGAGAAATGAGAGGGGCAGTTAGCATAAGTTGTGTGTTTGAACCAACTTGGTAGCCTCTCCAAGGCAGTGGCAGCAATTTTTAATTGCTTTGGTTAAAAACATTAATACCTTGCTTAGGATCAAACATTTACTTGAAATCTTTGAGGTAAAATAGAATAATTTATATTAAACATCCATAATGTATGTCTTAGATTTGGCTCTTGTAATGTTCAACATCTGAATCAAAGTCAATGCTGTTCTATTCCACTGGCATAGTAGAATAGAACAGCAAGGTCGACCTAAAATAATAATGAATACTAATCAGTACTGTGTGGGTTGAAACTGATTCAGGCTTCAAACTTTACATGAACCTAACGTGTAATAGCAACAAATTAGGTTTGGCACATGTAAATTTTGAACTGGGCCTTATGCTATCCAAAAGATCTGATAGATAAATAAACTGAATAGCCTCTATTTGGTGCAAAAATGTGCTCAGATATTTGTCTGCAGACATTATCTGTTCTGAGAAGCTAACAGTTTTTCAAGAACATAGCTTGAGGAAAACTGTGAGCTTTGGGGAACAGATTATGTCCAAGGAAAAAATAATATCCAAGCATAGTTTTTCACCAAATGGAGGCTATTGTGTTTAATATCCTTCAAGTATTTTTTGCAACAAGTGCAGTTTTGAAAATTGGGGATACCATTTGGATATTCCCCAGTTTTAGCCGGGCCATAATCAGTCACATGAGACATTAAGACCAATTATGCAAGAGCAAAAATATTTGACTGATTATAAACTTTGTTATCTTGACCAAAGTGAAGAAATTAATATAAAAGATAATATCATTTTCTTATGACAGTATTCAATTTGGTTAGGGAGGAATTGCCCCCAGGTTACTTGATACAGATTTTGATGGAAGTGTTCCACAAAACGCTATGTTGAGTAAAGAAAAAATATAACTAGACTTACAGTATAAAAATGTATGTTTATACAATATCAAAATGATGGATAATATTCCTGTATTACCTTTATTCTACCTTATTTAGATGAAGGCATCACTAGATAATTTTAAGTCTCATATTTTCCGTTTCTTGTTGCGTTGATCTTGGGACAAAAGTTGAAATTAATCCAGTTTTGCTGGGTGCTCAGTTACCTGTGACAATATTGTCCATCTATAGGACATTAAAAAAATGCCAGGTGTAATCTTATAATAATTTTTAGAAAAGTCAGTTGAAGTATGGTTTGTTATCATGTAAAGTTAAAAGAAATCCTCACCAACTGAAATTAAACAGCTGGTTAAAAGTATGAGTTTATCATAATTTTTCCTCCAATATTTAAAGTCTTTAAAGCCCAGGAGTTTGCTAACGAGGCAAAATAAAAACGATGACCATAAAAGATTGCTGTTTTGTTTGTGACGAGGAGGTACAAGCGACGAAATGTCTCATCTTTGTGAAAATATTTTTTTTCATATCAAAAATTTTCCTCTCGTTTGAGTACACCCATGGCCACCCACTGCGCCAAAAGCCACATGCCGAAATGATTCGATTTAATGCCCGGCTTTTGCTAGCATATGGCAGGGCGCTTATTAACCGCGCGGCCTGAAGCGAGGATCGTCGGATGTTTTTTT